CATACTACAAATAGGGAGAAGGCTAGGAAAATAAATGGTACGTACCTGGATCCGAATCTAAGACCGCCCCAAGGCTCGGTCAGGCCGTAGGTAGAGTAGATGCATGTAAAGTAGTGTTTAGTGGTGTGTATATATGGGTGACTTGGAAGCGACCGGTTTCCATGCTGCGCCACAATGCTGCATCACTCCAGCAGGCGTCCACAATGGACAGTTTCCTTCCTCACTGACACTACTTCAGTCCACCAACCCCACAAGCAACGGACAGTAGTTCAAAGTTCAACATTCAATGTCAGGGATTCATTTATCACCAAATTACACATAGGGAACTAACGCGATCTCTTCATGAGTCACACGGTTCAGCGTTAAAAACACAACTAAGCTCCTTCGTTCGATATTAAACACCACGCCGCAATAAGAATTCAAAATCAACCTAGCTGACACATAAACTAGCTACCGAGTCAACACACAAAAGGCTCTTAACGCGACGGTATAATTAAACGATGATTTCCAAACAATCAACCGGGAGACGCCCTCGAAAAGGAATGCGCGGTTCGAATTCTAGACCGTATATCTATTCGGCGCGCGCGCGAAATTCCACGTCACACGAGCAAGTTAAATATTGCAAAATGCACTTCAATACGCAATCACTACATAATTTGCGTAATTACTTTCAAATGAAATTACTTTAATCAGTCAAATACAATACAAGCCTCTTATCACGAACTTAAAAGCTAGACAAACTTAACCGAGGCGGTTTTCACGAAACCACAATTACGTAGCGAAGTAACATGCACTAATTCTAAAAATCTAAACCATAAACCGGTCGCGCGAAACTTCTGCAGCGGTAACCGAGATACGTAATTAACTGCACCCCTGCCCGCGAGCCACTGTCTCTCACCCGACAGCGCCAAACGCTGGGAAGCTGCCTTCCGCTGCTCCCTCCCCGCGACACGCGTGACACCTGGTACTATCGGGCGATTCACTAAGTCGAACGTGATTGGATATCGTCTCAAAATGACTATTTTTGGCCTAAACAAACCCCCGTCCCGGACATAAGGATTTATGTCCGCGAGCAAACCGGCAAGCGGGACAGGGCCGCGACGGCACGTTGCAAGACTGAATCTACAACCAAACCTAGGCCACCTTGGGCACCCCATCAGATCTTGCAACTCTAACCACCACCCCAAAAATACAGCCCCAACGTGGGCAAGCCGGAGGGTCGAACCTCCACTGGATGCCCTTCCTGGACATCGCAGCACCTAACTAAGTCTTGTTACTGGACAGAAGTCCGACGACCTCCTTCAAACACCTATCTGTGCCCCTATGATTCGTTCCGCAATCCGACCGGATCAGGTCTGCAAACAGCGACGCGATACGAAGCGGCCCAGCGTGGCCACCTAAGCTTCAGTGCAGAGAGTACCCACAAGTTCCACATGAACGGCGTCTGTGAAGAGCCAAACGAAACGCACAGATAGTCCTTAGTATGAATTTTCAAACAAAATATCTACCATAATATAATCGTTTACTCAATAGGGCGGCAGCTGATTTCAATCTGATAATCTCCTAACTAGCTAGCCCTTTCAACATGTAGCCTATGCTCATATTTCAACCAAGTTTCAAAAGCATCAATGTTCAACTACTGAATTAATTCATACAAATTAATTTACCGATGCGCATAGATCAAACTGACAAATTAAACAAAACAATAAACGTAAGAGAGACAGCCCTATTTCTCTTTCCAAATAAATATCTTCGACAGTGCCAACAAAAATGTGAAATCAAAGAGAGGAATGACTCTTATTCCCGTCGGCACAAATAGGGTTATTCATTTTCAATTTTCTTTTCAACAAGCAAACACAGTGATCAAATCATCATCATCATCATTACAGCCTTTCATAAGTCCACTGCTGAACATAGGCCTCCCCCAAGGAATGCCACAAAGCACGGTCTTGAGCCACCTGCATCCATCGACTTCCTGCATGTCTTACCAGGTCATCACTCCATCTCATGGGGGGTCGCCCTACACTTCGCCTACCGGTACGAGGCTTCTACTCGAGAACCTTTCTTCCCCATCGGTTGTCGGTTCTTCGAGCTATATGGCCGGCCCAGTGCCACTTCGGTCACTCTGGTTCTACTGCGGATATTCTCATTTCTAAGTTTATCACGCAGAGAAACTCCGAGCATAGCCCTCTCCAGAGCTCGCTGAGCGACCCTGAGCTTCCTCATACGGCCAGCAGTGAAGGACCACGTCTCAGTTTCATAGTCATCACTGGCAACACGCACTGGTTGTACGATTTCGTTTTAAGGTTTTGAGGTATGTCTGATTTGATGGTTTGAGATATGTTTGCCGTGTAGTGGCGGTCAAGAATATCCACTACCCCATATCCTCCCGTGGGTGTCGTAAAAGTCGACAAAGGGAAACAGGCAGGAGATGGGCAGCAGCATCTTCCTAATAATAGCCAAAATTACAATAAAAAAACTGCGGTTGCCACCCCGCTCGCCAAGCGTGGCAACTATGGCAAATACTCCCCAATTATTAAAGTGATCAAATACATTTATAAAACTATATGCATACGCATTCAAAGAGCACATCATTATTACTTATTTTCTACTAACAACCGCTACAACTATGAAACATTTCGCGGAAAACCCAAAGCATTTTTAATTAAGTGCTCGACCAAACCAAATCTAATAGTCCTTAACAGCGTAATTCAACGCTCCCGGGGAGCCCTAGTCTTCCCAACAACCAAGCGGAGGCCACCGTGTTGTGAACAAGAAATCCAATAAAGCGCGTGCCGTTAAACAATCGACGCTCGGGTACACCCTCACTGAGGCCGTCGGCAATAGAACAGTTTGACAAGTGAGCTGTTGACGGCTCAAAGAATTAGTGGAGGCGGCCGTGGTGGGAGCTAGGGCGGCAGCTACCTAGCTGGGCCTGCCTGCATCAAAGGGAGGGGACGGTGGCACCCCAGTCGCGGCCACTCAGCTGACGGGGGTGAGAAGGGTCTAGCTGACCGCTGAGTGGCTGTGAAGTCCCTTTCAACACGCTGAGGGGAGGGGGGCGACGACCCCCCCGCCCCTGGGGGAACGACCCTCCGACTGATCGGGGGAAGGAACCTTTTCAAACCTAGGGGCTCGGTGGCTGGCAGGCGAGCGCCGAGCGTCGCCCGACAGGGGGCGCGGCTGAGCGCCCCCGCCCGTGCGAGTCGAGGGCCCGGCAGAGCCCTGAGAGGAAGCGCCGTTCGCACCCAGGCACAAAACGGCATGGTGATTGCCCTGGCAGTGCGATGGCATCACTTCTTAATACAAATTACTACGCGGCCCAAATACAAATCGATTGACAAATAACAAGTACAATTCCTATCAAATCTAGTTAAATACAAATTACACTACAATAAGGTACACACCACAGTCGATCAGCAAAAATGCCTCGCTTTGACAACCGACCCTTGGACAATTATTCTACTATAATTATACGACAACGATAATTATCCGATTACGTGATAACAACCATCTACCTACCCGACGCGTACCTAGCCCTAACAAACTCCTGCTTGCGCAGCGCGACTTTTAATTCTACCCGCTAACAAACAAAGGAAGTGAGCAACAAAGGAAAATATTTTGATCATTACGTGTTACGGCCGGGCGTGATTGTAGAAACAATCAACCAATTTAAACCACGCTCTGCTACCAGAAATGTACACGCCCTGAGCTGCCCCAACAAAGTTAGACTGGACTAGGGCCCTTCAGTAGTCCTATCGATGGGCAGCAGAGGACGGGGCCCAACGGCCTATGGAGACTTATCATTCTACACAATAGGTATAAGGCTAGGTAAACAAATAGTACGTAACTGGTTCCGAAGCTAAGACTGCCCCAAGGCTCGGTCAGGCGGTAGGTAGGTGTAGGTGCATGTAAGTAGTGTGTAGTAGAGTTTATATATGTGACCTGACCTAGCTGAGGTGATTGGGCAACGGCCTGGTCCGATGCTGCCCCACAATGTTGTATCACTCCAGCGGACGTGACACCCGACACAAATAACGAACAGTCGCTCAAAGCTCAATATTCAAGGTTCCGGGTTCACGTAGCACAAATTTACAAACACGGGATCGAACGCGGCCTCTTCTCGAGTCTCAAAGTTCAGCGTTCCCAAATAACAAACTAAATTCCTTCGTACGATATTAAATACTACACCGCAATAAGAATTCAAAATCAGCCTAGCTGACACGTAAACTAGCTACCGAGTCAACACACAAAAGGCTCTTAACGCGACGGTATAATTAAACGATGATTTCCAAACAATCAACCGGGAGACGCCCTCGAAAAGGAATGCGCGGTTCGAATTCTAGACCGTATAACTCTTCGGCGCGCGCGCGAAATTCCACGTCACACGAGCAAGTTAAATATTGCAAAATTCACTTCAACACGCAATCACTATATAATTTGCGCAATTACTTTCAAACGAAATTACTTTAATCAGTCAAATACAATACAAGCCACTTGTCACGAACTTAAAACCTAGACAAACTAAACCGAGACGGTTTTCACGAAACCACAATTACGTAGCGAAGTAACACGCTCTAATTCTAAAAATCTAGACCATAAACCGGTCGCGCGAAACTTCTGCAGCGGTAACCGAGATACGCTAATTAACTGCACCGCTGCCCGCTAGCCACTGTCTCTCGCCCGACAGCACCAAACGCTGGGAAGCTGCCTTCCGCTGCCCTCTCCCCGCGACACGCGTGACACCTGGTACCATCGGGCGATTCACTACGTCGAACGTGAACGTAGGTGCCGTCTCAAAATGACCATTTTTGGCCTAAACACATACACTCTGGCCGCATAAATACGTCCGCGGGCGGCGGCATCGCCGGATATCAAAGGCGTTTCACAACTGCAAGGTCTTAAAACTGTGCCTTAACTGTGTTAGCTTAACTTTTATAGCCTTAAATTAAGTCAAAGTTAATATGACAACAGTTAGAATTAAGACTAAAAATATTTACCTGTGTGAGTACGCATATGTATGAGCATGGATGCGTGCGAGGGGAATATCTTCTTGCAGTGGGTGCAAGTCTTGTTTTGCGCGCCCTCTGTGAAACGATTGTGACGTTTTGGTGGGGCACTGTTGTTTGATATGGCCAATTCTAGACAATCGACATTGAACGAAATTAAGATAAAAGGGTTCAAACATTGCTAGCTGTATGACGTTTGCAATGCTTCGTTTGAAACGAAAATCCGCGGCGCGAAGCTAATGTTAAACAAATAATTGTCAAATGCGGGAAAATCGAAGCCAGACAAAGCATTCCAAGTTTTTTTTTATTTGCATCGAACATAACTGAAGTGATTATCATGAGTGTAGCAAGGTAACAGTTGTGATAAAATAAAAAATAAATGAAAATAATATACAGCGTATACACAGCCAGGCATAGGATATGGGCCTCACGGAATTAGCAAAACTTTGAAAATAAGACAAGAGTGACAAGACAAGTTGGCGCCATTGTCGAGAATCAGCCACATACATAACAATCAGTTTTCAGCTATGTTAGGAAATTGATTATTAGTAAGTTCATTGTAACCTGTTAAATTAAAAAATAATTATGAATTACAAAAGATAGCTCAGAAACTGCATTTATTGGTGCTATAATTGAATACACGATTTATTATATTAATCACATTAAAGATAGTGCAGTACTTTTCCAGCTTGTGTATTATATAGTTGACGGCCTCGTTAGTCTACTGGTTCATAGTGATCATGGGGCCGGGTTCGAATTCCGGGTCGGGTCGGAAATCAGGAAGTTGCCGGGTTTTCCCCTCCGTACCTCGGAAAGCAAGTAAAGACGTCAGTCTTGCGCGTGGTCTCTCTCTGATCATGTCGGATGCATTGGTATCCATTGGATTGAGACAAGGAATAGAGAGTGCACCTGTGCTGATACACAAACTCTGGCACTATAATCCTGTCCTGCGCAGATGGCTCTGTTGTGACTGGACGCCGCGAACAAAACTTGGGCTAGAGAAGATTATTATTACACGCTGGGCAGGCAAATGGTAAGCACAGAGCAGAGCCGATAACCCCGCAATGATAATGTCACTCCTCAAGAAATAGACATATCGCAATTTTGGATGGATTATTTATTTTCCGTCATTACTAGGTCACCAGGGCCTTATGTGTAAGTCAATAGGGTAAACCGTGCAAACCTCACCTGGTTTGCATTTAGAGAAAAAGTTGACATATTCCCGCTTACATCCCCAATGAAATATTAATAGTGGTATATTGTGATTTTGTAACCAATATCGATTACGGAACACTTATTTTAAATAATAAACCAAATAGGTTATTACAAATGCATTTTTGATCACATTTATTTCGCATTAAATTACAATCAAAAATAAAACTAATATTTATCAAATACAAGTCCTACAAAACACTTTTGACATTCAAGAAAACTACGTCATTGTTTCAACTTATTGAAAAGGGGGGACTTATCCCTACTGCGAAAGTCATTGTTAAGAGAAATATAAAAATTAAAAATCGACTGCATTTCGAAAAATTGTCATTCTTCTGTTTTCTGATATACATACATTTCACTTTAAATGCAATGCGAAATAAGTGCCTTCTGGTTTTAGTTATTAACTTTATTTTAGTGATGTAATATAGTATGCAATTGTTAATAATATTTATTCAACACTAACCTGTCTCTGTGTGTGTACTCTGTATATGCCGTACCCATTCTGCAGGGTTGGGGAAGTGCTTTTGGCATAAATCGCAGCGTAATAGAGCCATTGTTTCTTCCGTATCGTCGCTCTGTAAAAAAAATCTTATCGTGACTTCTAAAACTAGGTACTACTTATAATTATAGAATATATACAAAGCCAAACAATAGACTTGTTGATTTAAAAACGTAAATATATTTTCTGTATCATGTTTGCGGAATAGAATTAATTGCACACTGTTCCGATAATTTTGTAAAGATCTGAAAGAGAGAACAAAGATGTTGCACCTCAAAACTTTTCGGAAAATTTATAAATAAATTTGAAATGCATCCAAAATACTTCCAAAAATTAATACTATTTATTTACTTCATGTTTACAAGTGTGTAATAGCCTACTTGCGGGGGTGCGTGTGTATACGTGTATGTGTGCGTGTGCACTGACAGCGGAGCGATGCTTGCGCTTGCGGGGGTGCGTGTGTATATGTGTATGTGTGCGTGTGCACTGACCGCGGAGCGATGTTTGCGCTTGCGGGGGTGCGTGTGTATATGTGTATGTGTGCGTGTGCACTGACAGCGGAGCGATGCTTGCGCTTGCGGGGGTGCGTGTGTATATGTGTATGTGTGCGTGTGCACTGACCGCGGAGCGATGCTTGCGCTTGCGGGGGTGCGTGTGTATATGTGTATGTGTGCGTGTGCACTGACCGCGGAGCGATGCTTGCGCTTGCGGGAGTGCGTGTGTATATGTGTATGTGTGCGTGTGCACTGACCGCGGAGCGATGCTTGCGCTTGCGGGGGTGCGTGTGTATATGTGTATGTGTGCGTGTGCACTGACCGCGGAGCGATGCTTGCGCTTGCGGGGGTGCGTGTGTATATGTGTATGTGTGCGTGTACACTGACCGCGGAGCGATGCTTGCGCTTGCGGGGGTGCGTGTGTATATGTGTATGTGTGCGTGTGCACTGACCGCGAAGCGATGCTTGCGCTTGCGGGGGTGCGTGTGTATATGTGTATGTGTGCGTGTGCAGTGACCGCGGAGCGATGCTTGCGCTTGCGGGGGTGCGTGTGTATATGTGTATGTGTGCGTGTGCACTGACCGCGCAGCGATGCTTGCGCTTGCGGGGGTGCGTGTGTATATGTGTATGTGTGCGTGTGCACTGACCGCGCAGCGATGCTTGCGCTTGCGGGGGTGCGTGTGTATATGTGTATGTGTGCGTGTGCACTGACCGCGGTGCGATGCTTGTGCCTGCGGGGGTGCGTGTATATGTGTATGTGTGCGTGTATATGTGTATGTGTACGTGTGCACTGACCGCGGAGCGATGTTTGCGCTTGCGGGGGTGCGTGTGTATATGTGTATGTGTGCGTGTGCACTGACAGCGGAGCGATGCTTGCGCTTGCGGGGGTGCGTGTGTATACGTGTATGTGTGCGTGTGCACTGACTGCAGAGCGATGCTTACGCTTGCGGGGGTGCGTGTGTATATGTGTATGTGTGCACTGACCGCGGAGCGATGCTTGCGCTTGCGGGGGTGCGTGTGTATATGTGTATGTGTGCGTGTGCACTGACCGCGCAGCGATGCTTGCGCTTGTGGGGGTGCGTGTGTATATGTGTATATGTGCGTGTGCACTGACCGCGGAGCGATGCTTGTGCTTGCGGGGGTGCTTGTATATGTGTATGTGTGCGTGTGTATATGTGTATGTGTGCGTGTGCACTGACCGCGGAGCGATGTTTGCGCTTGCGGGGGTGCGTGTGTATATGTGTATGTGTGCGTGTGCACTGACAGCGGAGCGATGCTTGCGCTTGCGGGGGTGCGTGTGTATATGTGTATGTGTGCGTGTGCACTGACCGCGGAGCGATGCTTGCGCTTGCGGGGGTGCGTGTGCATGTGTGTATGTGTGCGTGTGCACTGACCGCGGAGCGATGCTTGCGCTTGCGGGAGTGCGTGTGTATATGTGTATGTGTGCGTGTGCACTGACCGCGGAGCGATGCTTGCGCTTGCGGGGGTGCGTGTGTATATGTGTATGTGTGCGTGTGCACTGACCGCGGAGCGATGCTTGCGCTTGCGGGGGTGCGTGTGTATATGTGTATGTGTGCGTGTACACTGACCGCGGAGCGATGCTTGCGCTTGCGGGGGTGCGTGTGTATATGTGTATGTGTGCGTGTGCACTGACCGCGAAGCGATGCTTGCGCTTGCGGGGGTGCGTGTGTATATGTGTATGTGTGCGTGTGCACTGACCGCGGAGCGATGCTTGCGCTTGCGGGGGTGCGTGTGTATATGTGTATGTGTGCGTGTGCACTGACCGCGCAGCGATGCTTGCGCTTGCGGGGGTGCGTGTGTATATGTGTATGTGTGCGTGTGCACTGACCGCGCAGCGATGCTTGCGCTTGCGGGGGTGCGTGTGTATATGTGTATGTGTGCGTGTGCACTGACCGCGGAGCGATGCTTGTGCTTGCGGGGGTGCGTGTATATGTGTATGTGTGCGTGTATATGTGTATGTGTACGTGTGTATATGTGTATGTGTGCGTGTGCACTGACGGCGGAGCGATGCTTGCGCTTGCGGGGGTGCGTGTGTATACGTGTATGTGTGCGTGTGCACTGACCGCGGAGCGATGCTTGCGCTTGCGGGGGTGCGTGTGTATACGTGTATGTGTGCGTGTGCACTGACTGCAGAGCGATGCTTACGCTTGCGGGGGTGCGTGTGTATATGTGTATGTGTGCACTGACCGCGGAGCGATGCTTGCGCTTGCGGGGGTGCGTGTGTATATGTGTATATGTGCGTGTGCACTGACCGCGGAGCGATGCTTGTGCTTGCGGGGGTGCTTGTATATGTGTATGTGTGCGTGTGTATGTGTGTATGTGTGCGTGTGCACTGACGGCGGAGCGATGCTTGCGCTTGCGGGGGTGCGTGTGTATACGTGTATGTGTGCGTGTGCACTGACCGCGGAGCGATGCTTGCGCTTGCGGGGGTGCGTGTGTATACGTGTATGTGTGCGTGTGCACTGACTGCAGAGCGATGCTTACGCTTGCGGGGGTGCGTGTGTATATGTGTATGTGTGCACTGACCGCGGGGCGATGCTTGCGCTTGCGGGGGTGCGTGTATATGTGTATGTGTGCGTGTATATGTGTATGTGTACGTGTGTATATGTGTATGTGTGCGTGTGCACTGACGGCGGAGCGATGCTTGCGCTTGCGGGGGTGCGTGTGTATACGTGTATGTGTGCGTGTGCACTGACCGCGGAGCGATGCTTGCGCTTGCGGGGGTGCGTGTGTATACGTGTATGTGTGCGTGTGCACTGACTGCAGAGCGATGCTTACGCTTGCGGGGGTGCGTGTGTATATGTGTATGTGTGCACTGACCGCGGGGCGATGCTTGCGCTTGCGGGGGTGCGTGTGTATATGTGTATGTGTGCGTGTGCACTGACCGCAGAGCGATGCTTGCGCTTGCGGGGGTGCGTGTGTATATGTGTATGTGTGCGTGTGCACTGACCGCGGAGCGATGCTTGCGCTTGCGGGGGTGCGTGTGTATATGTGTATGTGTGCGTGTGCACTGACCGCGGAGCGATGCTTGCGCTTGCGGGGGTGCGTGTGTATATGTGTAAGTGTGCATGTGCACTGACGGCGGAGCGATGTTTGCGCTTGCGGGGGTGCGTGTGTACATGTGTATGTGTGCGTGTGCACTGACCGCGGAGCGATGCCTGCGCTTGCGGGGGTGCGTGTGTATATGTGTATGTGTGCGTGTGCACTGACCGCGGAGCGATGTTTGCGCTTGCGTGGGTGCGTGTGTATATGTGTATGTGTGCGTGTGCACTGACCGCGGAGCGATGTTTGCGCTTGCGTGGGTGCGTGTGTATATGTGTATGTGTGCGTGTGCACTGACCGCGGAGCGATATTTGCGCTTGCGGGGGTGCGTGTGTATATGTGTATGTGTGCGTGTGCACTGACCGCGCAGCGATGCTTGCGCTTGCGGGGGTGCGTGTGTATATGTGTATGTGTGCGTGTGCACTGACCGCGGAGCGATGCTTGTGCTTGCGGGGGTGCGTGTATATGTGTATGTGTGCGTGTATATGTGTATGTGTACGTGTGCACTGACCGCGGAGCGATGTTTGCGCTTGCGGGGGTGCGTGTGTATATGTGTATGTGTGCGTGTGCACTGACAGCGGAGCGATGCTTGCGCTTGCGGGGGTGCGTGTGTATACGTGTATGTGTGCGTGTGCACTGACTGCAGAGCGATGCTTACGCTTGCGGGGGTGCGTGTGTATATGTGTATGTGTGCGTGTGCACTGACCGCGGAGCGATGCTTGCGCTTGCGGGGGTGCGTGTGTATATGTGTAAGTGTGCATGTGCACTGACGGCGGAGCGATGTTTGCGCTTGCGGGGGTGCGTGTGTACATGTGTATGTGTGCGTGTGCACTGACCGCGGAGCGATGCTTGAGCTTGCGGGGGTGCGTGTGTACATGTGTATGTGTGCGTGTGCACTGACCGCGGAGCGATGTTTGCGCTTGCGTGGGTGCGTGTGTATATGTGTATGTGTGCGTATGCACTGACCGCGGAGCGATGTTTGCGCTTGCGTGGGTGCGTGTGTATATGTGTATGTGTGCGTGTGCACTGACCGCGGAGCGATGCCTGCGCTTGCGGGGGTGCGTGTGTATATGTGTATGTGTGCGTGTGCACTGACCGCGGAGCGATGCTTGCGCTTGCGGGGGTGCGTGTGTATATGTGTAAGTGTGCATGTGCACTGACGGCGGAGCGATGTTTGCGCATGCGGGGGTGCGTGTGTACATGTGTATGTGTGCGTGTGCACTGACCGCGGAGCGATGCCTGCGCTTGCGGGGGTGCGTGTGTATGTGTGCGTGTGCACTGACCGCGGAGCGATGTTTGCGCTTGCGTGGGTGCGTGTGTATATGTTTATGTGTGCGTGTGCACTGACCGCGGAGCGATGTTTGCGCTTGCGTGGGTGCGTGTGTATATGTGTATGTGTGCGTGTGCACTGACCGCGGAGCGATGTTTGCGCTTGCGTGGGTGCGTGTGTATATGTGTATGTGTGCGTGTGCACTGACCGCGGAGCGATGTTTGCGCTTGCGGGGGTGCGTGTGTATAT